CAATAACCTCAGATATGCAGATGACACCACCCTTATGGCAGAAAGTGAAGATGAACTAAAAAGCCTCTTGATGAAAGTGAAAGAGGAGAGTTAAAAAGTTGGCTTAAAGCTCAACATTCAGAAAACTAAGATCATGGCATCTGGTCCCATCACCTCATGGGAAATAGATGGGGAGACAGTGGAAACAGTGTCAGACTTTATTTTTTGGGGCTCCAAAATCACTGCAGATGGTGACTGCAGCCATGAAATTAAAAGACGCTTACTCCTTGGAAGGAAAGTTATGACCAACCTAGATAGCATATTAAAAAGCAGAGACATTACTTTGCCAACAAAGGTCCATCTAGTCAAGGCTATGGTTTTTCCAGTGGTCATGTATGGATGTGAGAGTTGGACTGTGAAGAAAGCTGAGCGCCGAAAAATTGATGCTTTTGAACTGTGGTGTTGGAGAAGACTCTTGAGAGTCCCTTGGACTGCAAGGAGATCCAACCAGTCCATCCTAAAGGAGATCAGTCCTGGGTGTTCATTGGAAGGACTGATGCTGAAGCTGAAACTCCAATACTTTGGCCACCTCATGCAAAGAGTTGACTCATTGGAAAAGACCCTGATGCTGGGAGGGATTGGGGGCAGGAGGAGAAGGGGATGACAGAGGATGAGATGGCTGGATGGCATCACTGACTCGATGGGCATGAGTTTGAGTAAACTCTGGGAGTTGGTGATGGACAGGGAGGCCTGGCATGCTGCGATTCATGGGGTCACAAAGAGTTGGACATGGATGAGCGACTGAACTGAACTGAACTGAACTGAACTTGATCCCTGTAGTTAGAGGCCCTGACCTCTATAGACGTAGAAATTTTGAGTCTAAGAGATTTAGTCATTTGCCTGAGATCATAGATGTTGAATGTCAGGAGACCAGGTTTGAAGCCACACAGACTATCTTCAGCACTCACATCCTTCATCATGGACACTCTTGTTACATGTGGCCTTAATATAATTTGAAAATATAGTTTAACTGTATCATAACCATTCCTCTGCTGGCTACTGGCTCTCCAAGCTTGTAAGAAACATTATTGCTTTAATCCCTACTTTGATCACCATTAAGAAAACAAACAATCATCTAATGTAATAATCAGTTTTGAGAAGAAAATACACTTAGAAAATTGATATACTTTTAAATAATAATTTTATGATGCAGTAGAGTATTTACTTAGAGCAATATTTTAGATTTTGTAGGTTTTAAAAATCATCCCTAATTAATGGTGGATTTCTTAAAATAGTTTTAAAAATTAAGTGATTGAAAGGAAATAAAAAGAACAGACCATAAAAATCTTTAATTAATATAATGTGATTATGCCTAAATAATATTACTATTACAGAAAAAATAATATTGCTTATTATGGTCAGCTTATAAGACTTCCCTGAAGACTTGCCCTAGATTTACTAAGAAATGGAGGATGATTAAATATTAATTACATAAAAATTAAATTATTATTATTTAGTATTCATAGAGTTCCAAAGATTTTCATCAAGAAATCATTGTGCAGTTAGGAACGCATCATAGACCAGTTAGAATTAATTTTATTTCCCTTTTTAAAGGAAGTAATTTAAGATTTTTCTAAGACTTTCTGCTGACATTTTGGGTAATGAATGGAATATTTTTTCATTATACTAAAAACAGTACTAATAGCCATTTATAAATCTTCTTTTTAAATGTGATTATCAGAAATTATTTCCTCATATTTTAAAAATAAATATTAAATTAAAAAAAATTTTCATATATAGCTTTTATTATGTCTGAGGTATGTTCCTTCTAATCCTGCTTCCTGGAGGGTTTGTATCATAAATGGATGACAAACCCTCAGCAAACATTATCCTCAATGGTGAAAAATTGCAAGCATTTCCCCTAAAGTCAGGAACAAGACAAGGGTGCCCACTCTCACCACTACTATTTAATATAGTTTTGGAAGTTTTGGCCACAGCAATCAGAGCAGAAAATGAAATAAAAGGAATCCAGATTGGAAAAGAAGAAGTAAAACTCTCACTGTTTGCAGATAATATGATCCAATACATAGAAAACCCTAAAGACTACACCAGAAAACTACTAGAGCTAATCAATGAATATAGTAAAGTTGCAGGATATAAAATTAACACACAGAAATCCCTTGCATTCCTATACACTAACAATGAGAAAACAGAAAGAGAAATTAAGGAAACAATACCATTCACCATTGCAACAAAAAGAATAAAATACTTAGGA